AGCACTGAAGGATCATATTGAGTGGAATAGATTTAACTAGTTTGTAGCTCATTTAAGGCCTACACTGTTTTATTTTAATATGGTTAATACTTTATTACACTTTTTAACATTATTTTTACAGTAAAATAACCCATTAGAAGGCAGCGGTTTCTTTTCCGAGAGATTTCTGCCAAGATCAGCTACCCTATTGTATAACCAAGTTCACAGGAGCTTGTCATTTCAGTTGAATGTAGTTACAAGCCCTGTCTCTTGAAAGTAATTTAGCAGGAGAATCTATTAGAGAGACAGCAAGTGTTCCAAGGGTAATAGTTTTGAAAATGTGCATAAATAAATGTTAAAATATTTAGGAAATGCCAACATTCAAAACCGCTCCAAGAATTTGACTATAAAAGGAAGACGCCGATCCCCCCCCAACCAGTTATAAATAATTTCTTTACATCATATCAAAACTTTTCTTTCCTCTTCTTCCCATGGCAGCGCCCCTGCGCCAAACAAAAGGGATCCAAGTTATTGTGGATTAAAACTGAGCTTTTTCAGAACAAGTGGTTCTCGCTGGCTTTTTTCAACCCCCTCCCCACCCTCCATCCAGCATCTGCACACAAACCACAAAAGCAACAATAAAAGGCTGCCCAGTTCAGAACAAATGATATCTATGTTCAGCGATGTGGACATGACCATGGAAAGAACGAGGCTAGAAGCAGGTCGTTGATTCTTGTTTTTAATTAACGCTAACCGGGGAGTACATTTTTCCCTAGGTCGGCTACAAATGGGATACAGGATGGCCCAAATTCTGTCCCATTGATATCAGGGCCAGAACTCCCCCCGAGCATGGCTCTCAAAAGTGGACTTCCCACTAAATGTCTCCTGGTCCAAGTTACTGTAATGGTCTTTTTCTTATTTAACCCTTCCCTCACTTTTGTCTCCAGACTTATCTCAGAGGATCCTAGAAAAAACCAGAAGGCGGAGCATTATATAGATCAAACGCACCACTTAAGCACCACTTTAAGCATACGAGCCCCATCTGAAGTCAGTGGAATGACTTGCTTTCTTTAAGTTTCACATCAGCTTACGTACTTCACTGGATCAGGACTTGGAGGTCATTAATCACAAGATGGGGGGAGGGGGTGGAAATCACTGAAGAGGAGGTTCAACCCAAACTTATCTTTTCAAGCCTTTGCTTGCAAACCAGCTGCAGACTCTAATCATTCACCCACGAGCTAGTCTATCGTGGATGATAAATTAGTCACAGCCGTGGAGATGCGAACACACAACCAGCTATTGCAAAGTAAATAACCACAGCCTATATTCAGAGCTTAGGCACCTACCATGCTTTCATCTTTAACACACGTGTGCCATAGGGAAAAGAAATCAGTGCTCGTAGGAGGTCCTGTTTTGACGGCGTTGAAGACTGAAGCCCTCTGTTTAGTAACAAAATATGCATAACAGAGTCACGGATAGCACAACGTTCTCCCTCAACCTGGGTCCTACATCCCAGCTGAGAAAAGTGAGGTATGGTGGAGGGAAGAAACTTACTCCATGGGGAAGAGTGTCGCTGCTGTGGGAAGTCACTGGCCTGCACAAGCAAGGAGATGGTGACACAAAGATGGTGACCAGAGCCAGCACCAAGGGGCACGGGAATGTCTAGTGACAGGGGACTGGATCACTACTTGGTTGCAGTATCATCCCAATACAACCTTCTTCTATACTGCAGTGCAAATGCCATCAGTGAGTTCCTGTTCCTGCACCCATCTGATGCCTATGTTGGTGTTATATTAGCCACTTGCTGATGACAACATACACGAACCATATTTCTGGGGACAGTGATCCCACTAGATCATCCAAGTAGTGCATGAAGAGGATCAGCCAAGCAAACAAGTTACTGTGTGTAGATTTGATTTTTTTTACCGGAGTTATGTGCACAGAGAAGCTTGCAAGAATCCCACAGGAGCCTGCTCTTGTGCATAAAGGAAGCTTGACACGTGATGGGACCAGACCTGTTTTGCATCGTTTCTTTTATTCCTCATCAACAATTTGCCCAGCTTAGAATATAAAAATTCCCCGACAGGGTGAGATTGAAAACCTAGGCGCAAGTCACTGTAATCTTTAGTATCGTGTCTGTGTAGTAACCAGTTGGCGAATCATTAGAATCAGCAGCCGATTTGTAAGCAAACGCTCGAAAAGCCCTGCAGCATGTGATCTATGAAATCGTAGGTTTGTAGAAGGATGTCTTTTCTGATTTGAATGGCCTCCTGGGATATATATTGCTAGATTGCACATCTAGTATCATTAGAAAACACGACCATAGATTAGGCTCTTCTGAAGCATGTGGCGGGCAATAATTAAGTAATAAAAGTCACCGCAGGGGTGAAGGAACAAGAAATAGAAGAGTTACTATTTGCATACGCACTGCTGGCATCCTCCTGCACTATTAAAAAATTCTCCAGGCACGAGTGGCATTTAAAAGCTGGTTGCGACTGATTGCAGATGGAGTCCTGCTGGAAGCTGAGAGGCACAAGAAGAAACGATTGGTTGCACGGACCAGAGGACGTGCTCCCTCAACAAAAATCAGTCTCCTGGCATAGGAGGAGAATGCAATAGCATCCCTGGTTGCTAGCTAATGGCATTAGCTTCTTGCAGTAAGTGGCATCTAGCAGTTGGCCTGCAGCAGCAGGGAAGACAGAGCATTCCTGTTGTACTAGTGACAGCGAAAGGCTTTGTACACTACAGATCTAGGCAGAGACATGCTGTAACAGGTTGCTGGTGAGATGGAAGAATTCCTCAGAAGGACAGGGGCTGGGGGAGAAGGATGTGGAAAATATTAAGCAGCAGATCCCCTTCATTTACTTGGGCTTGCAGATTTTTAGTTTAATATTTGCTGCTGGAGAGGGGGATAAAAAAAAAAAAAGGCACATTGTAGAAGTGTGCTGATGAACCAGTGAGCTGCCCTCGTAGCAAGGGCATTTTCTGCTTTAGTGCACCTCCCATGGCTGTCCCTGTCCTTCACTGTGGCTGGGGAAAACCCCCCCCCCCTCGGGGCGGGGAAACCCGCCCCCCCCTGCCGCAAAGGCATCAGGGGACACACACACGCAGCTCCGAGTCTAGCCTCATGCCGTATTGTGCAATGCCAGCTCGGTTTGGGCAGCCAGGAGAGCAGCTGAGAAGCCACTGCATTTTTACCTTTTTTATACTGCTGTTTGTCACGGCCACATGGCACAGGCACGGTGCCAAATCATGGCACATGCACACCGAACACGCAACCTCTCCTCCGTGGCCAAGCCATGTCACCGTTCTATCCAGTTGCAAGCAGCAACTGTGCTGAAACCTGGTCCAAAGCTGCATCAAATAACTGCAGTTCTTGCAGTATTTAAGTCAGGTATTTTTCCTCTTAACGTTTCAGGATACCACAAAAAGGTCAAAAGGTTTCCTGTCCCTTTGCCAACAATAAGAACATAATTTGAGAGAGGCAGAATATATTTGGAGGGGGAGGGATGTGGAGAGGTCTGTTTAAAAACACTGCATTGAAGCTCCAAAGATCTGAGCTCAGCGCCCATCACTGCCACAGACCCTCTGCATTGCCTTGATCGAGTCCCTTCAATCCCTTCCTCATCTGTAAAATGGTCACAATAATCTGTCCTTGTTTTTCCTCTTTGTCTTTTCAATTTTGACTGCAAGTTCTCAAGGGCAACATCTGCCTTTTATTCGTGCTTGTACAATGGCTAGTAGCAAGGAGTGTGGATTGTACTTGGGGCCTGTAGACATGACTCTTGTACAAATTACTATCTTTATGCCTTTCTACACCTGAATTTAAAACATAAAAAAAAAAAAAAAAATCAGCGATATCGTAATGTTACCTCTTCACCTCCTGTTCTGTTTGCATTTCTGCTGCTTTTGTTAATGAGCCAAGGAATCACATAAAACGCCTGAAAGAGACTAAAATGCTAGGGACTGGAGATGTACAATCTTCATGCCGAGATTCGTTCCCGATGGCATCTTTGTACAGCTCCCGTATCTAATTCAGTCTCCTCTCTATTCTAGTGGCAGCCATTCAGGTCAGCGAGCGACTGAAATTTTGGGAAAAACCTTTGCTCAAATGTCAGTTCCCTCCATCAGTGCAGGAAGGCAGGTGGTTTTGCTTTAACAGCCTGCCCCTCTGTGCACAAAGGGGTCATTTTTGCGATGGAATATTAAAAAGCTAGGCATGCAGGTTAATCAGCGTCCTCTCTCTGCCTCTCTGACAGCTGGGAGATCCTCCCAGGCTCTGGAATTGCCCCCAGCTCAGCCCTTCTGCAGCCTGGCTCAGCTTGCTTGGTACAGGGAAGCAATAACGGACCTCAGGGTCTCCCGTCATGACACCTCACTCTCTTTATGTCCCCTTGTTAATTCTCGGGCAACTAGCACTGTATTGTCAGCTTGAAGTGCAACGTAAGGCAGGACTGCTTGAGGCTTGTCAGGTCCAGGCTCACGGCTCAGAGCTCTCGGATACCAATGTGAAGGCTCACTTCGCCTTTTGATCATATCCCCCTCAGCTCCTGGGTGACCCACGAGGTTGCCTTAAGTCCAGAGAGCTAGAGAGCATGGTCTCTTCCAACTTCAGCCAGGTCCAAGGATGAGGTGTTCATGCAATCCCTTCAGAGACCTGCATTGCAGAAAACCCAGCCAACCCAGTCTTGCAGGCTGTGGGCACAAGTCTGTCTGGTCCTCAGCTGATGAACGTGCTAGAAAGCTGATGCTCTATATTGGTTGTGATGAGCACCAAGTACCTAGGGGCTTGGGAGGACAGGGAGAACCTGTGCAATGCCTAATAACTATTGCAGGGCCCTCCTAACAAAATTAATTCCCATTTCTCAGAACTGCTGCTTCACCCGCAGCTTACTTGCTGCTTGCATTTCGTCATCAGTAGCAGATAAATCCAAGTCTGTTCAAGAGGGCTAAACATGGAAAGGATCTGACCCCGGTCTTATTTTTTTTTTTTTTTTATTTTATTTTATTTTTTTTTATAGGCCTTCTACACCCATCTTTGACCTTCTCCAGCACAGGTACCAAGAAGTCTGGGTGGAACAACAGAGAGCAGCAGCTGCGGCCCGGCAAGCAGAGAAAAAAGAGGTAATAGCGCTTTGGATATGATACTCATCACTTCTTGTCCTAAACTTGCATAACCTTGCTGTCTGTTATTGAACAGCTGTATCCAAGCTGGATGTATGCTTGGGGGTCGGACTCGATCTGTTGAGGTCCCTTCCAACCCTAGCATCTGTGAATGATTCTGGCTGGAAGGTGTGATGGGCAAGGGTGTACATGCCCCACTATGTAGGGCCTGAAGAAGGAGCCTCAGCCCCTAGCTGAGCAAACAGGATCCATGTTTGGATCTGAACAGACTCAAGCACCTCACCTATGCAGGTCTTTTTATAAATCCCATTAGCTGGGCACTGCATTTTTAAGAGCATAAATATTTTTAAACCTCTGCCTCAAGGTATGCAGGGTAACTGAAAAGCCCCATAGCAGCCAAGAGGAATGGGCTTACTACTACTCATTTTTTACTAAGGTCTGTTTTGCAGGAGTGTAAAGAGGCCACAGCATCAACGCAAATCAGGTTTAAAGTCACCTTACGTTCATCCTTCAAGGAATCGTATTCCTCACCTAGGCAGCCTCACCAAAACACATCAGACTAACCACAGTTTATCCTAAAACATGTGGCAACCCATTTTACAAGAAATGAAAGCACCAGGCTCTATCTAGGTGTTACTTTGTCAGACTCCAGCAGTTAGAGAAGTTGTTAGTGTGTGAGAGACAGTGCTATTAAAGCCAGCAATGTTATAATCACATTTAAAAAGCAACCAACAACTGGTTTATTAGTTAATGGCTCATGAAAGAGTCAAGCTAATATGGTAATGACCAATTTCAATGAGATTATTACTGTTACAAAGTATGCTTTATAGTTAAAGTGCAAGAATACAGTGTTTTTAATTAGCAGCTATTTTATGGCTGCACAGTCTAGAATGGTGGAAAACATTCGGATCTATTAATGACTGATTTCTTATCCAGGAGAGCACCTATTGTGTTCTTCCCCCGCCCCATGTTACCAATTCCTGAAGTCTACAGTCACCTGCTGGTGAATTAAGGGCCACAATCCTGCCTATGAGGCTGTACTTTGGAAACACAGAATCCCTGGAGTTTCACAGTGCAGCCAGAAATGCTTACATCCAGTCCCTTAGGCTATGAAAAAGCATCTCCAGTCCCTTAGGCTATGAGCCCATAGGGTGTTACAAACAAAGCACGGCCAAGTCAGCCCAGTACTTGAATGAGGGGCAGTCAAAAAATAAAATAAAATAAATAAAATCTGCGCACTGCAGGAATGAAGGAAGAGTTCTTCTTGCATCATGAGTCTGTCGCAACCCACCACTCCAACAGAGTATTGGACTTTGTGCTGATGGTGGTCATCATCCCTTTGGGATGCACTGTAGAATAGAGGTCCTAACCACCAGCCATCATTAACACTGAGTTTTTTGGGTCACACCACCTCCTCAACTCCTAGCATCATGATGGTCAAGTCAGAACTACATCCCCCGAGATTCAGTTTCAGATGGGTTATTCTCCATTTTGCGTTTTGCACAGCTGCCATAGTGGCTCTCCAGAGGTGGCTGCACTTCAGTGGCAGATAAAACAATGCCTCCCCTTAGTTTTATATCACCTTACTACACCTGTGAGCCACCAAAATTCTCTTGAGCAAGATTTTCTCTAATAAATGTTACCTATAAAACAACAATTATTATGATAGGAAGACTCGGAACAATTAAAAATGCCAGTGGGCGCATCTACATGAGACATTTACGGCAGAGCTGCCTAATTAGCTCTGCAGAAAAGTCTCTGCATCTACACATGTGGCCCTATTAGGCCACAGTAAACTAATAAATGCCGCCATAAGTCAATACAAGTACTATCCTGTGGCAGCATTATTTAGTGCACAGCAATGCACGTGTAGATGCTGATGGGGCTGGCTGGGGCATTAGGGTGCTTCGGTGCGGGGGCTGCACTGGAGTACCTTTGTGCCCCAGCCAGCTCCTCCACAGCATGTTGAGCCAGGTCGGAGCAACCCCATGCTGGCAAGCTGACCCCCATCCCGTGCCCCCTGCCAGCCAAGGCTGCTCTGACCCAGCTCAACATGGTGTGGTCTCAGATGCACATGTAAACATGGTGCCCAGAAGCAATAAACTCCGGCACTGTGTGCACCAGAGTTTATTGCAGTGCACTAATTTCACATACAGATGTGCCCAGTATCACCTGTATTCAGTGACTGCCCCTAAAAGCCATCATGCCAAAAAAGGATTTGTTATCAGGAAATGGCTGCGATTCCTGCGATGATCATTCTCTCGTAAAAAAAGAGTTCCAAATTGCCGCTGCATCTTGGTAGTAGCTCATCCTACACAATAGCCATTCAGTACAGCTGGCTTGTTTTTTCTGTGGTTATTTGACACATCTTCTTTGCCTTTAGTTGCAAAAGAAGAAAGTGTGTGAGACGCGTACCACCCTTCTCAGGAAGCACCCACCACCTGTGAAAGTGGACTCCCTGTGGCACCTGCCCCAGTTTCAGAAGGTGTGTATGACGCATAGTTAAAATTCACAATAGACGCACATGCAATACTTGGAGCTTAAATAAAACCCAACCAAGAGCAGATAACCCAGAAGGAAGGTTTTTAATCATCTTATCACCGAGGTGGGCATTTTAAACAGCCTTACCAGATGAGTGCATCTTTAGTACTAGCATCACCCCTTGAAGTTAGGATGCTCAAAGTGCAAGAGATGTTCCTCCAATGGTCAGGAATTACTGTAGAGAAAATGGCCATTTACAAAGCAGGCCATCTGGTTGGTTTGCCCCATCAATAATTCATGCCATGCTGGGTTAATTTGGTTCAAGAAGTATTTTTACCCTGAGAATTAAAGACTTCCAGAAAACCTGCACTCTTGGCATTTCTCTAAACTGTCTGGTTGACAATATTTTTCCTCGAGATTGAATGGAGGGTCGGTTCAGGAACATGACACTTGCCTAAATTGATCCAGATCAGAGTCAAGCTTAAGATTGCACGTTCTAGCATGGGATCTAAACATCTTGCGGTATTAATCTGTGCATCCTGTTGTACTCTAGGGCACTTGTTTGAATTCTGGTATTTTTGTTTGTGGTGCAAAATACAGGGAAGCTGCAAGTAAAAGAGCCAGGGGGCATTTACAGAGGAAGGGAAAAAGAGAGCTGGGCTGAGGCGGAGGCGGGGAAACAGCAGAAAAACCAAGAGCATCCAAGACCTGTAGGGAGTTCGCATGGTCAAAATAAATAAATAAATAAATAAATAATTTTAAAAATAAAGAAAAAAAAATCATCACATCTGGCATTGATAGATACCACTGCAAAGAACCTCTCAGCCCTCTGAGCAGGCCCATTGTTTGGGGGTTATTTTCTGCCACTCTGTTGCTTTTTAACTGCAGTTTAAACAACACCGAGGATTTGCAGCTCCCTGAAGCTAATGTACTTGAACAAGTTGGAGAGTTTTGACCAAGAAATGTGTTTTGCAACACCTTGATGTATTCCTCTTACGCCCTGCCTAAGTCTGTCCTATTAGCATATGTCAGTAATCATTTATCCCAGCTGCCTGTCAGCATAGAGCTGCTGCTGCTGCAGCTAGTGTCAGGGAAAGAACATGACCGATCGCTGTTAAACAGATTGTGTAAGTCACACGAGATCCAGGGGCGAGCCTTCTCTTTATAGCTCCTCTCACCCTGGACCTTTCCATCACTATTCATTTTTCAGACTCTCTCTCCGTTTCTCTTTTCCACTCTCCTCCGCTTTTTGTTTTGTCTGCACTTGTTGCCAGGGTTTTTAAGAGAGTGCAGATATGCCACCCCACTTCCCTGCTTTTCCTTCCTCTACTCTCTCTGCTTTGCTTTTGCTTTGGCCTACTGGGACCCTTCCATCTGCAGCATCCAGGAAAGGAGGCTGAAGCCAATTTTCTGCCGAGGCACAGAGTTTCCATAATCTTTCCATTTCTTACAACATTAAATCGGAGAAGCTTATCCTTTCCTCAGCTGTAGACACCCAATCCGATCTATCTATATTAGAACTTATATCAAGAAATACAGTACTCATCTGGGGTTCAGATTTTCTGCAGCTGGAAATTAAGTCATCCTGTTGTGTAGCCGTGAATCTGTTCATCTCAATACAGCAATAGGAAGAGAACAGAGAAGGTGCACGCTTAGGCGATGAGGAGTTTCACGATGTCTTATGCCATATACTGCTGCTCGATGCTTTGCAAGATCCTGGCCTTAAAATATTTTTCCTTTGTGAGCAAGTAATGAAACAATTCAGTTAACATAAAGTAGCCAAACCAAACTGCACCTTGGTATCCATCAGGGTTTGAAAGAGTTGGATGAAGTTTGTTCACATTCTCCATCCCTATTAATTCCAGTCAGGATGTGAAGTTGCAGCAAAGTTAGTTTAGTTTGGAGAAAAACCTCTCACTAGGAGGGTGGTGAAGCACTGGAATGGGTTACCTAGAGAGGGGGTGGACTTTCCATCCTTGGAGGCTTTTAAGGTCCAGCTTGACAAAGCCCTGTCTGGGATGATGTAGTTGGGGCTGGTCCTGCTTTGAGCAGGGGGATGGACTAGACGTGACCTCCTGAGGGCCCTTCCGACCCTTGTTTTCCATGAAGGGACAATACTGGAATCATGCAAGGCAGTCCCTTCTTGTATTTTTCACCAAGGTAAAAATCAGATGAACCCGAACTTTAAACGGGGGTGCAAGGTAGCTTTTTTGCATAGGCATTTGCTAAAATATTTGGCACAGCACAGAAAGGAAAGCTGCTAGTACTGTCCATTGCAGCCTGGTTTCCTTTATCATTATACTACATCCAAAGACCACCTGAAAAGTGGCCAGCTCACTGTTTGTTTCCCCCATCTGTAAAATGGTTATAACAACACTTTATTTATCTCCCAGTGTGTGGGTTGGGTGGTGGAGAAGGCTGTACGGTTCGGCTCAGATTTTTACAATGTCTTGAGACCCTCTGGTGGAAGGCACTGTGAATGCAGTGATACTTGGGGCTGGCAGTGTTTTACAAGCAATCAGTCCTCAAATTCATCTGGAAGCAGATTTTTTAAATGATGCCAAGTCTAAGAAAGAAAGAATTTGCTTCAAGGAGTCGCTGATGGATCCGGGAGTCTTAACTCAAGACTTCCTTGCTCTACACCTTGTTCTTTTTCTACTGGCCCAACCTGTTCCTCCCACCACCAATTGGCTCCATTCTGAAATTCAGTTTGCTTTGAAGGCAACAGACTTACTTGTTGACCCTTCTGATGATTTTCCAAATTTTTGTGTTGTTCATCACTCACTGGATACTCGTACAAGAGTTTAAGTGCAGTGTGAGAGCTGATCATTTGATGACTCTTCCCTAACCCTAGAAGAAGTTCAAGAGTCAGATCCAGTCTAGTCTGGAAGAGACTTTGGTGACTGGAGAACTAGTCAATGGCCTTGCAATAAAAACCAAGAGTGAAAGTTCAGCAGTGAAGGCCCAGATTCAGTAACATACCACTAAGCACATGCTGATGCCTTGCTGCCTGCGGAGGAAGCTTATGTGTGTGCTTACATATGTTTCTGAATCAGGATCTGAGACACAAAGGGGTTTCCAGTCAAAGGAAAAGGAAAAACAGTCCGATGCCTGTTTAGCCTAAATGCCTGTTTAACATTTTGGAAGATGGTAGGGAAGGGAAAAAAAAAAAAGCATTGACAACTTAACATATAAACCATCTCCCATTTAGTTTAAGGTATGAAAGCTTACAAACAGAAGGCATCCCTAGAGACCCCCAGCAAGAAGAGAAGGCATTCCTAATATTTCTGAGGTAGAAAAAAATCCCTTTCAGATTCTCCTTACCCATCGGAAAGGAGCAAAAAAATCCTCAGCACAAGTTTTTAAAATCTTTTGCAGATCCTCTTGAAGGAGTTGAGGTAGTTGGAAGCCCTGTGCTACCGGCAGGTGTCGTGCCTTTTCTCAATACATCTGGGACAAACATCTGTATTGCGTGCTCCTTTAAGGATTCACCTAGCAGAGCCAGTCAATACCAGTTATCACTGCTTTTCTGTCCTCTCATTTCAGGGACAAGGCATTAATCATGAACTCTGTATGGTATTAGTAATTGCAATTAATCACTGACATATGTTTAACCCCTTCCCTGTGGTCAGGCACACTCCACTGATAAGCACTTTAGGGATCCGGATTCAAAGCCCGGTGAAGACAGTGAAAAGTCTCTCTCTGCTTTTGAGACATTTTTGGATCAGGCCTTTAAAACTTGAGCCTTCCATCTTTGAAGCCATGGGCAAAACTTCTGCACACTTCATTGGGAGAAGTTTTCAGCTGCTTGCCATCATGTTACCATAGTTGGCAAGTTATTACCTGGGTCATTCCCCAAGTCAAGCCTCCCTCTGTCATTAGAGAGGGGTTTCTCCCCTCCAGGTGGGCTCAAAAAAATAAAATAAAATAATCAAGCTTACCTCCACATTCAAGACGCCTTTATATTCTTCACCAATAAAGAACTTGTAGGTTGATGGGTCCTCATGCTTCCTATTATGAAAGGGAGAACTCTTCCCTAAAGCTGGGCCTGTCAGAGATCGATGATCTCACGTGTCCTTCCCCAGGAAACAGATGTTGAATCCGAGTTCTGCCAGAAACAATTAAACACCTTTCCGACAAGAAGGAGCTCAAGATTTCTTGTGTCAACACAAATTTACCCATATAAGCAATTGGAAAGTGAAGCTCTTCTAAAAATATTGCTTTAGTATTGGACAACTTCTCTCCTGAACCCCGAACAGGGCCATTTCACAGTAAGGAGAGAGGGAGAGGATCTTCCAAGAGGATTATCTAACCAGAATAAACTGAAGGCTAAAACAAACCCCTTCAGTGGTAGGGGCTGATGCTGCTAACAGATGTTCATCCCTTACGTTGGTGTGTTCTGCCATGGGGGGGCTGCACACTGGGGTAAGACAAGAAGATTTTTCTACCCCACAGAAGTTGTAGATTTCCCAAAGTCTCCCCTACTTTGCACCAAAAGGAATCCAAAACCTTTCAGACATTTCTTGAAAAGCCAGAGAGACTTAACGCCCCCCGCCCCCACCTCCCAAAGACACACAAAAGGCATGCATGTACACAGACATACCCCTCGCACAAGCACAGCCAACAGGATGGGGAAGCACAAGGTTTAAACATTTCTGCTACAGGGTTGACATCCCTTCCAGTAAAAACATGGTGTTGTTTTCCTGAGCCTGTTGACAGTAGGGATCTCTCTGTCTGCATAGGACTTTATCATTTTCAATGGATTTATCCCAATTGTAGCATAAGGCAAGATGCTAGTTGTTATTTAGCAGTTGTATACCCCGAGGCTCACTTGAAGATCTGTGACCGAGAAAACTTGGTTAAGAGTCTGTCCCCCTATTCACTTCTGATGCTTCAGAAGCACGTGTCCTCCCTTGGGGAAGGGAAACAAGATGACTACGGCCCCGCTCAGTGGTGGCAGTGATGGGGCACACAATGAAAAGCTTCTTCAAGACGATCACAAAT